GTGTGGGGGTGTGGGGGTGTGTGGGTGTGGGTGGGTGTGGGTGGGTGTGGGTGTGTGTGGGTGTGTGTGGGTGTGTGTGGGTGTGTGTGGGTGTGTGGGTGTGTGTGTGTGTGTGTGTGTGTGTGTGTGTGTGTGTGTGTGTGTGTGTGTGTGTGTGTGTGTGTGTGTGTGTCAGGTGGGCTTCGGGTCTCGGGGGTCCCTTGTCGGTCGCGTTGTCTACTTTCTCGTCTCCATCCATGTGTTGCACAAGCAGAGAAGACACAAGGATGAAAAGGGCGAGAAGGAGGAAGCGAAGAGCAGGAGCGAGAGGGAGGGGGAGGAAGAGGAGGAGAATGAGCAGGAGGAGGAGGAGAGGGGGCAGGGAGAGCAGAAGAAGGATGGGGAGGATGGAGGAGGAGACTATGAGGAGGAGGAGGAGGAGGAGGAGGAGTGACCAGAGCAATTCCAAGATGTATCCAGGCTGCTACATTAAACCCTCCAGTCCAAAGTCTTCTCCGCAAGAAACGTCCCTTTGAACAACGAGCACATGTTTTCCAGTCGCTCGGGCGAGACACCCTCCTTAAAGAGGAACCGACATGCATTCTTCATGCGAGTAATAAAACGTCCGTCAGGGGGCGATCATGAAGTTCCGAGTCGAAAATGAGACGTCCCCGTCCGCACGCCAGTTGTGTAAGTTTACAACTGGGGCTACCCATTCCGAGGAGGTCTACAGCGAGAGCCTCGGTCTAGAAATGAATTGCTCTTGTGGTGTACTCGTGGAAGCCCCAAGCAACAATGAACGTGTAATAAGGAGCGCATTCCATGTCTGTGGCTGTTGTAAACACGAGTAAGGCGAACGTGCGCGGCGTTAAGGCGAGGACTCCATCTTGATAAGTAATCGTCCTCCGTTCCCGTACCAGTTGCTGGCTTGTGAGGCGCATGTTCGCGGCGCTACAGCGAGAGCCCCCGTTTGAAAGCAAGCCGCCCCACACCAGGTCAATTGCTGCAGGCTGTTAGGAGAAATGTGCGCGGCGCTACGGCGACAACCACAGTTGGAAAGCTCAATCCTTGGCAACTGCTGCTGTAGTTTGAGACGACTGCGCTCGGCGCTAAGGTGGGAGCCCAAGCTTGAAGCCGACCTATCTCGATCCGCGTCGCTGCCACGAGCTTTGAGGACGAATGTGCGCGGCGCTCGGGCGAGAGCCCCGTTCTGAAGACGACCTCTTGCGAGGGTTGAGCTCCAGGGTGGGAGTGGGTCCAGAAGTCTGCGGCGAACCGCCCAGCCCGCCATACCTACCCGCCTGCGGGGCGCGTCAGGGAGGAGCTAGCTATAAGGAACAGGGGCGGAGGAGGACCAGGAGAATAGCGAAGGGCTCGGAGAATCGGAAAGGATTCGGAGAACAAAGGAAAGGGGCGGGGGAGGACTAGGAGAATAGGGAAGGAGGAGGACGGAGGACGGAGGACGATGCGGAGGCAGATGGGAAGCAAGACCAGCTAGGGAGAGGGAGTAAGGGAGAGGAGGGAGAAGAGAGGGAGGGAAGACGGAGGATGCGTGGAGATGGATGGGGCAGGGAAGCCAGGGAGGATGCGGAAGAATGGGGGGAGGAGGAAGAGGGACAGGGAGGAGGAAAGAGGAGGGCGATCCTGGAGGTTGCGGCGTCCACCATCCCGGCGCAGCTGGCCAGCAGCGTAAAGGCGGGCTTGGGGCATTCCTCGTCAAGATCGCCGTCGTCATCCTTCTTCCTTCTGAGCCTCCCACTTCCTTGTTATTACTCTCCCCACCCACATCCTCCTGCCCAGCATTCTCTTCATCATCCACCATACTCAAGCACTGGTTCCTCTGCCTCCTCCCTCATGCTCCTCCCCATCTCATTCTCGACACCCCCCTCTTATTGGCGAGGTGGCCCTGTCGATTCTACGTGCGGACACTTGGTAGCAAAGCCCAGTGGCTCCTGCCACCCCTCTTCATTTTGGCCTCATGTTCCCCATCCTCGTGAGATTATGCTTCCACTTGCTGTGGGATGTTCTCCCTCTCGTTCTCCTCCTTTTCCGCCTCCTTTCGCCTCCTCCTCCTCACCATCCTCCACATCACCATCACCATGATCATGAGCATCATCATCATCATCATCATCATCATCATCATCATCATCATCATCATCATCATCAGCATCATCATCAGCAGCAGCAGCAGCATCATCATCCTTCCTCCCACTCCCGTCACGTCCGCTCCCAACTCTTCCCCCTTCGACGAGTGGCGACATACGAGTACGGTCCTCTTCATCGCACGATGGTGCTGTGAAATGCTCGTGACCTACACGCGCGCATATCCCAGCGCCACACGACCTGATAGCTCCCCGATGTTGGTCCCAGGAAGGACCTGGCCGGGGACAGTGCAAGTGCACAGCTGGCGTCCTCCCATGCATTCCTCCTCCTCCTCCCCCTCCTCCCCCTCCTCCTCCTCCTCCACCTCCTTCTCAACATCCTCCTCCTCCTCATCCTCCCCCTCCTCCTCCTCTAAGCTATTCCTCGTCCTCCTCGTCCTCCTTTTCTTCCTCCTCCTCCCCCTCCTCCTCCTCCTCCTCCTGTCTCCTTTTCTTCCGTCTCGATGAAGCAGCCCTGACGCGCATTAATCGTAGTTCAACTATTGGTACAGCCCTTGCTAAGTTTACAGCACATTCAGGGCCGAGTGCTTCAAGCTGATTCGCGCAGTGTCTCGGCCCAACCTCTTCTCCTTTGGGCCCTCCTGAGATGCTCGAGGCATTTGTGTGTAGTTCGCTAGGCTTCCAATCGGGACAAGTTTGTCGTTTCCCAGTGCCAGATGTCCAGCCCCAGGGGGTACGGCCACGCGATCAGAGCATGTGGCCCTTCCGTGTTCTGCCGCTCTTGCTGGCACTAGCGCTTTAAATATACGGACTTTGCAGCAGACGTGCCATGGAAAAGGTAAGGGCCGATGTCACTACATGTACGCCCGTGATGTTAATGATTGGACGGGATCCCCGTACAGATGCACGCGACCCTGTCCCCAGTAAGGATCGTACTAAGCGAGCACAGGCCTGAGTTCCACGAGCTGTGTCAACATGCGCCTGCACTTGACGAGGCGTGGGGGAGGTGGGTCACCGCTGTCTATGCCGCTGCTGAACGACACTTCGGGCGAGAAGCTGGATTCGACCAGTGTGTTCGCGAATATTGCGTGGGACCGCGGGCCCCATTGGAGCTGTTGGCTGAACGACGACGCTTGGGTGACGACGCCCACGCGTGCCTGATGCTTGCCAGAGGTCGCGTCAAGTACGACGCCTTCGCCGCGCGCGTTTCGAGGAGGCGGCCCACCAGATCGCGGGCGAGATCGGAGCGACATGGCAGGGCAGAAGGCGCGCTGAGGTGTGGAAACCGACGCATCTACTTGCAGGAGAGTGCGGGGGATTTTTGGAAGCGACACTACAACGCGGCAGATGAGTATGTGCCGTGGAGGTCCGATGTGCACGATCATGTCGGTCTCTAAGGACCGACGGTGGATTTAGTACGGTACCTGTTGGGCACGGCGAGTTCCAAAGTCAGATGATCCCCCCCTCCTCCACAATTTACCTGCGGGTTTGACAGCTCCGCTCACGCCGAGAAGGGTCGCGACGACCTGCATGAGGTGACAGCAATGCTAGAAGAAACGCCCAGACGGACGTCGGCCCCACTCCATGGTGCATTGTGACGTGTCGAGTGGTGCTCTGGACCAGCTGCAACCGACGCTTCTGCGGCGCGCGCGGGCAAGTTAGGCGCCCCAGAGATGGTGAATATCCTGAAGGGCAGCCGGCACCTTCCCAACAGGCAGTCAGTCACGCCGCGGCATCGACGACCAGGCGACCGCCGAGAATTGGGGGCTGCAACGGAGGAGGCAGCCAACGCGGCCACCTTGACAGCGACGCGGAGGGTCTCTCATCATATGCGGAGGGTCGGGCGCACATCATCGGTCTGGTTTCGTCCGCGGGCGACGGGGCTGCATGAGGGGGGGGGCGGCGAGACGGGCTTCGCCGCGCGCCGATGCATGCATGGGCTCTGTCGGATGGGAGCGACGTGGTACGCGTCGCTTTCCGGGCCCTGCCGTTGCGGGCCACAGCTGTTTAAGCGCCCGGTCGCGAGCGCGGGCGCCTGCGAGGCCGCGGCCGGAAGGGGGGCAGGAGGGCCCCATTTTTCTCGCCAGCGACGCGAGCCGGGCCTTTTCGCGAACGAAGCGGTCGATGGGCTGCAGACGTTGCGCTGCGAGTGCGGCGCCATCATGGGCGACGGCGAAGACCTTTCGGCGACTCGCGCAGCGGCGGCTCGACGGGCTTCGAGCGCTTGCGCGGCGGGCGCGAAGAGAAGGCGCCCATCCTGTTCGTGCCCCCCGTTCATCCCAATGACCTCGACTAGGCGGCGCGGCCCAGGGAGGCCGCCCGCGCGGCGCGGGCGCCCGCCCCCTGGAGGCCCGTGGACTTCTCCTGTCGGGCTTGCGCAGACAGCACACGCAAGACGCACGTCGCAACGCCGACTCGGAATGTACCGCGAACGCTTTCTGTTGCAGGCTGTTCGTTGTGCGAGGGGAGGGACTCTTCGAAGCGGCTACGCGCGCGGCGCCGGGGGGGGCCGCGCGTCACCTGTGCCAGTCCAGGTTCCCATCGGCCTGCTTCAGATATCCTCGGTGGGCGCGTTGTCCTGGTGGGCCGCGCCCAGTTCGACGACGTTGCCCCGGGGCTTCAGGCGGCTGTGAACGGAGGGGCCCACGGGGAGCTCGGGCGCCGCATTCTAGTCCGTCGCATGGGGATGCTACTCCACGGGCCACACCTGGAGCAGGACCTGGGCCTGGCGTTTCACGAGGACTGCGTTCGGGGCGGTCGCGCGGGGGGCCCTTCTCTCGGGGCCCGCGACGCTCGCTCTCGCGGAAACCTAAGAGAGATCGTGCGTTTGTAGGTGTTGCGAGAAAGCTGCGTGGTGGCGATGCCGGCAAAAAAAAGCAGTCCTGGCCGTTCGGGGTGACCTTGTTTGCGTCGACGTTCAGTAGATCGTCAAGCATGAAGCTCAAAATGGCGCGACGATGCCGAAAGGGGCCGGCGCTGCCCCATCGCGCGCCAGTCTGGCGGTCGGACCCTTCGGAATGCACCAGCGCTGCACCCACTTCGATGCTTGTAAGAGTTGGGATCGACGGCCGGCCAGCCCACCGCGGACCCTGGGCCCACCCCGCCCCCCCGAGGTACCCCAGCTACTGGAGCCAACCCCCGCGCCCTCAGGTTTGTCGCCGACGCCGCGAAGTGGATGGAGAGGTCGGAGGGGGGCGGGGCTCTTGGAGGAGCATTGCGGGGACGCTGAGGGCGGCATCTGGTTTCGCTTAAAAGCGCGGGCATGTCTGATGGATGATGGCGTTCATAATAGTTTATTGGGGGTAGAACCCGGGGTGCAACGAGCGCATGCACGCGCGTTGGCGACGCCTCCACCTCCTGGGCCGCGCGGGCTTGCAACGGGACTCCCAAGTGCTCTTCGGGCCCCTGGGCCCGCGGGCTCACCGACTCTACCGGGGCCTCATGCGCGCAAGTTTGCCGCGAAAAAATATGTTCTGGCACGCCTGAGCAGGGGTGCCCAGTTCGGTTCGGTTCGGCGTCGGTGCCTGAACCCTTCCGGTTCGGTTCGGCCAACGGTTCGTCGTGGTGAATTTTGCCGCCCGGTTCGGCCCCTTTCGCTGCGAGTCTGTTTCCGGTTCGGTCCGGTTCGGACGCTGCGAGCTCGGCGACAGCGCGGTGCTTCGCGTCGCCCCGGTGCGGGCAACGCAGGCCCGGTTCCGAGAAAACACTTCCTGCTGGAGTCATCGGGAGGGCCCGGGGGGGCCCCGGGGAGGTCGGCCGGCGTCGCCCGTCGTCGATCGCGCCGCGCCCGCGGCCAGCCAGGTGCCCGCAGCGTTTCTCGCCGGGGTGACGCAATCTCCAGCGTCAGGCTCTTGTTCGGTCCAGTTCGGTCCGGCTCGGGGGGGTTAATCGGCCCGGTTCGGAGTTAAAAACGAAGACGGTTCGTTTCGGTTCGGATGTCAAAGCTAACGGCCAGTTCGGTTCGGTGCGGTCCGCGTTGAAATTCACACCAGTTCGCGCCGGTTCGGTTCGGCCCGGCTCGTCTCGGCCGGTTCGGTTCGGTTTGGTGGCGGAGGGCGAGCGCAGTTGCGTCGGTCGTGCGCGGTCAGCATCGCAAACGAGCGCCTCGATTGTAAACGGGCCCTTCGCGCGAGACGCACTGCGCAGAGGCGCGCCTTGCACTCGGCGCGTCGAGGCAGCTGTCTCCCCCGTGCAACCCCTCTTCTCTCGCGTGGTCGCAGAGCCTTGCTGCTTTCGCTCGGGCGCGCGCTCGTGCGCGCGCACTCGCCCGCGCCCTTGGCGGACCTCGCGCCCCGTTCGAGGACGGCGATGCGCCGCCCGAGCGGCGAGCAGATCGAGGCCGAGAGAAGCCGCTCCAACGGGCGAGGAGGTCGCGCTGGCTTTCGACGTGGCCGCTCAAGCTCAGCGGCCGCCACTCGAGGTCGCGGGGGCGGCAGGGCCGGTCTTGGAAGGAGGGGGGTCGAGGCAGCCAGGTGCCGCGGCGGCGAGGCAGGCCAGACGCGGATCGCGGGCAGTCCCCCGCGGACGTCAAGGCAGCGGCCGACCTTCTCGAGAAGTTCCCAGACGCGTCGCAGCGGATGATCTCCGAGCTCATTCCCGCGCTGGCGATGACAGTGCTCGGCTACGCGTTCCAGATCAGGCAACTCATGGCGGTGGAGTTCTCGGCGATCCCGGTACTCGAGTCCGTCTCACTCGCGAAGGTGGCGATCCTGGTCAGCAAGCGCGCGCGACGGCGGCGGTCAACGCGAGGGATGCAGCGGGAGGCTCAGAAGCAGAAGAGCACGCCGGACATGGCCGCCTGACTCGGGGGTTCAGGGCCCGCCGTGCAAGGAGGGCGTCGCAAAGATGGCCCTCGCGTTCGCGGGCGAGGAACTCGCCGAGGTGCGCCGGGAATGCGTCGCGAAGCTCGGGGGTGAAGCGCGCCCCGGAGCGGCGCCGAGTTCAGCGCGCCCTTGACGAGTTAGAGGGGTGAAGCACGGCGTTGGATCGTATGATCTTTGGGGTGGCCTCCTAGGTTTGTTGTCGTCACAATATTTGATGCGGCCTGGCGCGAGATCGCGAGGTCCGAGGGTCCGCCCGGGTTCGACGTCGTCGCAGTCTCGGCTGCAGCCTGGCGCTAGATTGCAAAATCCGGGGGAGGCCTCAGGTCTGAAGTCGTCCCAGTTGCTGTTGGACTGTGGCGCTAGATCGCTAAATCCAGGGGATCGCCTCCCAGGTTCGGCGTCGCCGCGCTGCCGTTCTCTATTGATACTTCCGGGTCGCGAGCAGGACGGGGTGGACATCGTGCTCGAGAGGGTGGAAGCTCCGAATTTGAGATCTGTCGGGCGTTCAAATGTGGGCGCCCATTCTGTTGCTCGTGGAGTTCCCGGTAGGCTATGACACGCGTCCGTGAATAGAGAAAATTTGAGTTCCATGGGAAGGGATGGGACGGAGGGATCGGATGTCAGATGTGTCGCGAGCGTCTTCTCCTGTTTTTCTCCTCCACGTCCTCTACAATAGCACCATATGAATCCTCTTCTCTCTCCCTCTGACTTTGTGCAGAAGATAGCCGGCAACCTTCCACTTCTTGCTTCTACACAGGATTGGGCCGAATTGTGTTTTCCTAAGTGTCTTTTACAATCTGGTTGCTTCGGGTGTTAAACATTGTTCCCGCTTCGGCGTTTGCATCATTTTCGGACCGGCGATGTACTTCCACTGCTCAAAATGGCAATCTCGCCCCAGCACGGGCCATGTTCCTGCATCCGAGTTCCTTTTCTCGGTTGTAGCCCAACTCGTTTCCGCTCCTCCGCCTTCCCTTGGTCCATACGGTCCGTCCACTCCTTCCACGCCAGTTCCTGCTGATGTGTTTCGTCCTCGTCCTCGTCCTTCCACATCATCATCCTTTTCCTCCTGCCTATACTCATGCTCACCCGCCTCCTCGTCCTCCTCCTCCTCCTCCTGATCCTCCTTCTCCTTCTCCTTCTCCTATCTACGCAGCTCCCATTCTCGGATTGCGCATAACACACTGGGGGTTTGTGGAGTTCCAGGTCGGCTATGACACGCGTCCGCAGATAGAGAAAACATCAGCTCAACGGGAAGGGGTGGGAGGGAGGGAGGGATCGGATGTCAGATACGGCGCGAGCGTCCCTAGCTTGCCTATTCTCTCTTTCTTCTCTCATCCTCCCCCTCCCCCCTCTCTTTCTTCTCTCATCCTCCTCCTCCTCCTCATCCTCCTCCTCCGTCTCCCCCTTCTCTCCTCCTCCTCCTCTTCCTTCTCCTTCTCCCGCCGCTCTTCCCGCGAGGACCAGGACAGCCAGGAGCAGGAGCAGGAGGGGGGCAGGAGGGCGAACGAAACGACGAGGGCGGAGGAGGAGGGGGAGATGGAGGAGGTGCAGGACAGGGAGGAGGAGGGATGGGAGGACTGGAGGATGGTCATCGTCCTCCCGTCCTTCCACTCTTCCGCGAGTCTCTGGAGGCTTCCGGAGGTTCTGGGAGGCGGTCGGGAGTTTGCGCATTTGCAAACATCCCTCGTCGTCCTCCTCGTCCTCGCCCTCCTCCTCTCCTGCTCCGTCCCCTCGTCCTTCTGCTTGTTCTTCTTATTAGTATGTTTATTCTTATTATTATTCGTATTATTTGTATTATTGTTCTTATTGTTAGTATAACTCTTATGCGTTTTATTTGTTATTCTCAGTCTTAGTATTCGTATGTTTCGTGTTATAATTATCAGCATCAGTATTCCATAGTATGATTCGTATGCTTCTTCTACCGCCCCTCCTGCCTTCCCTCTCTCCCCATCTCTACCTCCCATTCTCTTCCCCTCTCCATTCCAGGATGAATCGGACCTGCCTCTTCAGAGGCAGGCCAATCCACCATCCACTCTCCACCACTCTCCTCTGGGATGACACGCTGGCCCCCTGCACATCCGACGTCGTGATATTTGCGTTAGTCGCGCTTTTGAGGTCTGGACCTCTTCCCAGGGAGTGGCCCTTCGTCATGAGCCGTTTCGAACGGTCGGTGTGGGTACGGAAAGAATGGGTACGATGACAGACAGTAGTTCCTGCTAATTTTAAGCAGGACTCGCTGTCTGTGTTGGACAGCATCGGCCGCTGCCAGTTTTGGACAACATCTGTTGTTGGGGATCGCACCCAGACTTTCCGTGTTCATTTCGTCTGTCCAAGTCGTTGTTAGATGGTTCTGGCGTTATGCCAGAGAGACTTGTCGTGATATGAAGTCATGGCGCGAGGATGTCTGGTGGAGGGGCCGTCGCGGCAAGGACAGGCCGCCCTGGGAGGGCAGCCGCCGACCTGCGCGAGTCGGAAGCAGCTGCAGTCGACGACGTCGCGGGGCGCCGCTCGGGCTCGCGGCCGCGGCCCCACTGCCATCGAGATGGGCACCCAGGAATGGATACCTCGGCATCGGAGCAGGGGCAGCGCCAGGGGGGAACATAGGCCCAGGAGGGGCCGCACCGGCACCCCCAGTCCCCCACGCGTCGCCGAAGGGGGCCTCACAGCGCCCTGGAGCGTGCGGCTTCCTTATCGGGCGGGGGCGTTCCGCCGATCTGTCGGAGACGCATCGCCGCTTCCAGGTCGGCGCTCCCCCTCCGAGCCAGTCCGCCCCCCTTTGCTGCTCTCAAGAGTGGACGGCGCAGGAGATCGGCAGGAATTAGCGCCACTGCCGCGCGGGGATGGCGCGAGAGAGCGCCGCCCCCCTGGGCGCTGGCCCGGTCCGGTCCCCGGGCCAAATTGCTGATCTCCCGCTGGGGTGGCGCTGAGTGATGGGCCTGCTTTTTCACCACCACCATCAGTTGGAGGGGGGGTAGGAGGAGGAGGAGGAGGAGGAGGAGGAGGAGGAGGAGGAGGAGGAGGAGGAGGAGGAGGAGGAGGAGGAGGGAGGAGGGAGGAGGAGGAGGAGGAGTAAGAGGACCCCTTCCCCCTCGTGCTTAAGGAGGAGGAGGAGGAGGAGGAGGAGGACCCTGGTGGTGGTGGTGGTGGAAAACAGGCCCATCACTGAGGGCCTGGCCTTGCAAGAAGAAGCCGCCAGGGACCCAGGGATCCGACGCACTCGTATGGTTTGAATGCGGGGCCCCGCGAGTTCCGACCTTTCCCTTTCGATCGGCGACGACGGCGACGGCCTCCCTGCCCCTCTCCCTTCCTGCCTCTTCCTCGGCCTCTTTCCCCTGGGAGGAGGAGGCCCCTCGCTGGAAGGAAGGAAAGGGGTCCTGAGGGAAGGGGGTTCCTGGAGGCCCGGCCCCTTCCCCGGGACCACGCCGTCGTCCCGAGGCGTCTTCCGACGGCCCCTGGGGCCCAGCGCGGGCCCCCTGCAGAGAGGCCTGGGGAGGGCAGCCGCCAACCGGCGCAGCGCCTCAGGGAGCAGAGTAGTCGTGGCCGCGAGCCAGGCGGGGCATCTTTCCAGAGCGTGCCGGAATGCCCTCGGAGCGCTCCGGAACGCTCTGGAACGGCCGCGGCGCCCGATATATATACATATATTTATATATGTGTGTGTGTGAATGTATATATATGTGTGTATGTCTGTATATATGTATGTATGTATGTATGTATGTATGTATGTATGTGTGTATGTATGCATGCATGTATGTATGTCTTTCTGTCTGTCTGTCTGTCTGTCTGTCTGTCTGTCTGTCTGTCTGTCTGTCTGTCTGTCTGTCTGTCTGTATGTATGTATGTATGTATGTATGTATGTATGTATGTCCTCCAGAGCCGCTGGATCTCAGAGAGCCCCGATTCCCTGAGATCCAACGTCGGAGAATAATTGCAACAATATCCACCGTCACGACCAGAGCCTCACGTAGACCCCTAGTTTTTTGCCCCGTGTTTCGAGCTGGATCGATCAGCGATGTTCCCAGGGCAAGGACACGGGCGGAAACGCCAGGTGTAGAAAAATTGCAACGCCCGATCCCATGTTGTCCCGATCATGATTTAGGCCGCGCGCGTGGTTGCCCAGCCGCCCGCGCCAAGGTGGCGGAGGAGTGCCCGCCTCGATCCTCGACCCTCCACACGTTGGAGCCTTCGGCCCTCGATCCCGATACAGGATCGTCGTTCCTTGGATCCTCGATCCTCGATCCTCGGCTGCCGACCGGAGTCGGCGACTGCAACGGGTATGGATGCGCCGGGGTGTGGTTTGCGATCGGCGCTACTGGTGCCTGGGGAGCGCGACGCTGTCTTCGTCGGGCCTCTTCGGGGGCGCGGTTGAGAGCTCTGTCGAGGTCCACAACCGCCCCCCAGGGTGCCGGGGCGCCAGTTGCAAACCACACCCTTTGCACACCACACTCCTTCGGAGACGCCGATACAAGATTGCCGCGCGCGCGGGCGCGCGGGCACCGAGGTGGCGGAGGCGTACCCGCAGCGCCGCACCGCGGAGGCGGGGCTCGCCGCGCGCGCCCCGCGCGGAGGGCGGGCCCTTCGGCTGCGGCCTCCTCCAGGCTCTTCCTCATCGAGGCTCCTCCTCCAGGCTCCTCCAAGCTCCTCCTCCAAGTTCCTGCTCCCTCCTTCTCGAAGCATCTCCTCCGCTTCCTCCTCGTCCTCCTCCTCCTCCTCCTCCTCCTCCTCCTGCTCCTTCTCCATCCTCCTCGAAGCTCCTCCTCCCAACTCCTGCTCCTGCTCCTGCTCCTTCTCCTCCTCCTTGCTCCTCCTCCTCCTTGCTCCTCCTCCTCCTCCTCCTCCTCCTCCTCCTCCTCCTCCTCCTCCTCCTCCTCTAAGCTCCTCCTCCAACTTCCTCCTGCGCCTCCTCTAGGCACCTCCTCTGTCCTTTTCCACAATTACTCAGCATGAGAACTACTGTCCGTTCTCTCCCGAAGACGGCTGGGGAGTAGCCCGCCTCCGTCCGCTTTGCTGTTGCGCAGGATTTAAAACATGTGTTCCACACTTTGTTACAATGCGGTCGTGTTCGGCCCCTCAAACTGGTGTTACCGCTGCAGCGTGGGCCTCATTTTAGGATCGCAGCTTTGATCTGGTCATTCAGACTAGCACTCTCGCCCCAGCGCGGGTTCCGTCTCTGGATCCACGTCATTATTCATCGTTGTTTCCCGCCTCCTTCCTCATCGGCCTTCCCCCGGTCCTCCTGCTCTTCCCGCTCCTTCTACTCCAGCTCCTGCTGCTGCTCGTCATCGGCCTCCTCCTTCCTCAACCTCCTCCTATTCCTCCTGCTCATCCTCTCGCTCATTCGCCACCTTCTCCTCCAATGTGCGCAGCTCTCCACTTCCGACTGCGGAACACAGATGGGGTCCTTTTTGGAGTTTCAGGTCCGCTACGACGCGCGTCGGCGGATTCAGGGGATCTCTGCGCAATAGGAAGGCATGGGTGGGAGAGGTGTGATGTCAAGACATGACCCGGGCGCACCTAGCTCTCCTCCTTCAAGCTCCTCATCCTGTCCTCATCCACAATTTCTCATCCTCCTCCTCCGCCTCCGCCTCCGCATTCTCCGCCCTTTGAACCGAGCTTCGGGGCGAAGCGAAGCGTAACCCAACAGAAGGTACAAGCACAGGGAAAAAGGCAGCAAGTCCTCCTGCTCCTCCTCCTCCTCCTCCTCCTCCTTCTCTCCTCCTCCTCCTCCTCCTCCTCCTCCTCCTCCTCCTCCTCCTCCTCCTCCTCCTCCCCCCTCCTCCTCCTCCCCATCCTTCTACTCCTCCTCCTCCTCCTCCTCCTCCTCCTCCTCCTCCTGGTTGTCGCACCCCGAGGCCAGTTTTTAGGTCGGGCCGGGCATTTCGCCTGAGACTTTATCACCGTGCTGACCCTGAAATTTAAAAATTGGCAACAGCTTCACAGATGTAGGGCGGGTCGTTTTCAGAATATGGCTCTCGCCTTGCGCCGCGCACAGTTGTCCTAAACATTTGCAAAAGTTTCACGGGTTGTCAACGGGCCGTTTTCAAAACGTGGTTCTCGCCTTAGCGCCGCGCGCATTCGTTTTATGCATGTGCAAGAGCTTCACGGGTCGAGAGCGGGCCGTTTTCAACATGTGATTCTCGTTGTAGCGCCGCGCGCATTCGTTTCAAACATGTGCAAGAGCTTCACGGATTGAGGACGGGCCGTTTTCAAAATGTGGTCCTCTCCTTAGCGCCGCGCACATGCGCTTTAAGCATTTGCAAGAGTTCCACGGATTCCCATTACCAGCGTCCCAGAAATGGTGTCTTGGAAGGCCTTAAGATTCTGATGGCGCCACAGTTACGTTGGTTCGCGGTGTTGAAGTCCCAGGAACGGCGCTCTGGCATTATTCAGGATCGTCAAGACGCAACAGTCAGGTTGATCCGTAGCGTTGGATATCCGAGAACAATGTTTTAGCATGCTTCAGGGTCTTCAAACGGTTGTCTTCCTGCGAGGCAGTTCCCTCTTTGGAAATGGACGTTGTGTGGGCCTATGCAGAGGGAGCTTGCAGGGAGGGTTTATTCCAACATCGCTGATGACTCTTGGGTTTACACTGGTTCTTCTCCTCCTCCTCCTCCTCCTCCTCCTCCTCCAGTCCCCGAGCGATTTCGGCACATCCTTCAAACGGTTCGTGGCCCCATATGGAGCTTCAACTGAGGCCCCATGGGGAAGGGGGACCACATGCGGTCCCGCAACCCTTTTGGCAAGCGCCCGCATACCCTCTTGAGCGTCCGCCCAGGGTACGGGCGTTGTTATTGTCTCTTCTTATGTTGCTCATCGCACCCCTCCTCCTGCTATATTCCTCCTCCTCCTCATTGCCCCCTGCTCCTGCGCAATGTCATGTTGGCGTCCCTCCCGATGTCCTCCTTCCTCTTTCTAGTCATCGGCCTCCTCATCATCATCAGCATCACCATCAGCATCAGCATCATCACCACCACCACCACCATCATCATCATCATCATCATCATCGTCATCATCATCATCATCACCATCATCATCATCATCATCATCATCATCATCAGCAGCATCCCGCTCCTATTCGCACTCCCCCATGTCCCCCCCTCGCTCCTTCTTCCCCCTATCCTCCTTGTTCTCCTCATCATCCGCCTTCTCCCGCTCATCATTATTCTCATTGTCCTCCATAACTCACAGTGCCTGGGCCAATCCGAGAACACCGCCCCATCACCCTCCTCCCCCACCTCGCTCTCCTCATCATCCCTCGCCATGTTCGTCCTACTCGCCCTCTCGCCCTCCACCCTGATCCCCCCCCTCCCTCCTCGTTACCCCAGCTCCCCCTTGCTCCCCATCTCTCCAATGCTCCTCCTGCCCGCCCGCCCTCCCCCCCACCGCCTCTTTTCCGCAGACCCCCCCGGCTCAGGGGGGCCCAGTCGACCGCCAGCCCGGGGTCGCCACTGGCGAGTCGAGGGCCGGCCTTGACCGCGTCGTGTTTTGGAGGAGGAGGAGGAGGAGGAGGAGAGGGAGGAGGGAGGAGGGAGGAGGGAGGAGGGAGGAGGAGGGGGGAGGAGGAGGAGGAGGAGGAGGAGGAGGAGGGAGGAGGGAGGAGGAGGAGGAGGAGGAGGAGGAGGAGGAGAAGGAGGAGGTCTTCTTCCGCAGCCTGGACCGCAGGAGGCGTCGACCACTTCCAGGGGGGCCCGCTACGCATCCCGCGAGCCGTTTCTCGACGAACCCCAGGTGCCAGGGCCCTCCAGAGGCCGAGAACGGCCAAAAGCCGCCCGCTGCGATTCGTTCTGTATCTCACGACGCGAGGTGCTTTGAGATCCGACGTCTCCCGAAAAACATGCAGCATCGCGGGAAAATCACCACAGAAGCCCTAGACCCCATCGCTCTGTTGCATCTTCCAGGCCAGACCGATCTGTGTTGCCCCGGAAAGCCCGGAACCGGGTGACGACCCAAGGAGTAAACAAGCGAATTGAAAACAACGCCCGGATCATCATACATCTTCCGGTATCATGTGCTCTCTCCGCGGCACAGGATGTCTCGACCCATTCCCAGAGATATCTTTTCGTCCCGCGTCCATGATGGTTCCGGGGGATCACGGGCCCTAGGAGCCAAAAGACGAAGGAACACGCCGGGATCGAACAAACCATATCCTGAGAGATCTGGGATCTCAGGGTGGTCTGGGACGCCTCGAGGGCCCGAATAACCGATCGAAAACGCCCAGTTTGAAAACACTGTAGCGCCTTGATCTCAGGGAAGTCCTGGTGGTTTTTGGATCATCATTCGGCTCTCTGGCGGCCGTCCGGGACGATTTGCACCCCTGGAGCGCTCTCGACGAGGCGCAGCTGCCAGAAAGCACCCCGAAGCCGGAAAACCGACGAAAACGTGAGCAAGTCCTGCATCAGCGTGGTCCGAGACGATCCCGACCGAGGCGAGGGGTGCGCGATGGGCGTTGGGGCGATAGACGGGGGGGGGGAGGAAAGTTGCACCTCTGGTGCACCCTCGGGGCCCATAAGGGGCTCCCTGGGGCCCAAAAGTCACACGGAAGGTGCACGTGTCTTCGCCCCCCCGCCCCTTCGATCGCCTCCCACTGCGCATATCGGCCCGGGCGGCCGCCTCATGAGCAGACGACAGGAGGCGCTGGCGGCAGACGAGGTGCCCAGCCCACGGAGTCCCCCAGACCTCGCACCTGGCAGCAAAAAGCGCAGTGTGGTGAGCGCGCGGGCACCGCGCAGTGTTCGTATCTCGTTGGCCCCCACTACCCAGACCCCCGACGTCACATTTGTTTTAAAAAGCGACCCCCAAAGGCTTCGACCCATTCCACGGGACTGGCTTTTTCATCCCGAGCAGTTTTTGAATAGCCTCCAGGCCAGGCAAGGGCCCCCTGATGCTGAAAATAACAAAAATTGCCTTGGCGACGTACCCAACCCCTGCGCAAAAGCGGGGCGCAAATAGTTTAGGGTATTTTATCAGGGGGCGATGACGGAGCGAGGGTTACATATGTCTGCAGACGGAATTCGGGAGACTCGCAGGACACTGGCTACAGGAAAAAGGCTTGATAAAGCTGATGACTTACAATTCCTGAGCATTCCTAGCCACTTCGAAAACGGGGATCACAGCAGGCCTCGAAAGTGGCGACAGTTGCACAGTTCGCAACCCCGCAGGGATGGCGAGGTCTAATTTGGGTCCGCGCGTGGCGTCATTGTGCTGGGCCCCCCAGCAGAAAGTGGCGACAGTTTCACAGATCGCAGCCTCCAGGGGATGGCGAGGTCTCGTTTGAATCTGCCCGTGGCGTCACTGCGCTGGGCCCCCCAGCAGGCCTCGAAAGTGGCGACAGTTTCACAGATCGCAGCCCCCAAGGGATGGCGAGGTCTCGTTTGAATATGCCCGTGGCGGAACTGTACAGGGCCCCCCAGCAGGCCTCGAAAGTGGCGACAGTTTCACATATCGCAGCCCCCCCCAGGGATGGCGAGGTCTCATTTGAATCTGCGCGTCGCCCTCACTGTGCTGCCCCCCCCCAGCAGGCCTCGAAAATGGCGACAGTTTCACAGATCGCAGCCCCCCAGGGATGGCGAGGTCTAATTTGAATCTGCCCGTGGCGTCACTGTGCTGGGCCCCCCAGCACGAAAGTGGCGACTCACCCCCCCAGGGACGGCGAGGTTTGAATCTGCCCGTGGCCCTCACTGTGCTGGCCCCCCAGCACGCTCGAAAATGGCGACAGTTTCACAGATCGCAGCCCCCCTGGGATGGCGAGGTCTCATTTGAATCTGTCCGTGGCGTCACTGCGCTGGGCCCCCCAGCAGGCCTCGAAAATGGCGACAGTTTCACAGATCGCAGCCCCCCCAGGGATGGCGAGGTCTCGTTTGAATCTGCGCGTCGCCCTCACTGTGCTGGGCCCCCCAGCAGGCTTCGAAAATGGCGACAGTTTCACAGATCGCAGCCCCCCAGGGACGGCGAGGTGTAATTTGAATCAGCCCGTGGCCCTCACAGCGCTGGGCCCCCCAGCAGGCCTCGAAAATGGCTCAGTTTCACAGATCGCAGCCCCCCAGGGATGGCGAGGTCTAATTTGAATCTGCCCGTGGCCCTCATTGTGCTGGGCCCCCCAGCAGGCCTCGAAAATGGCGACAGCTTCGCAGATCGCAGCCCCCAGGGATGGCGAGGTCTAATTTGAATTTGCCCGTGGCCCTCACTGCGCTGGGCCCCCCAGGAGGCCTCGAAAATGGCGACAGTTTCACAAATCGCAGCCCCCCAGGGATGGCGAGGTCTAATTTGAATCTGCCCGTGGCCCTGACTGTGCTGGGCCCCCCAGCAGGCCTCGAAAATGGCGACAGTTTCACAGATCGCAGCCCCCCGCAGGCAAGACAGGAAGAGGCAGGGAGGGAGGGAGGAGGAGGAAGGAGTGGAGACCACACTGCTCTATTCAAAACGAATACCCAACCAAGGAGGGTTGGGAATTATTGCCGCTTCGCGTATCCCCACCAGCCAGCTCAGCCAGCTCAGCCTCAGCCTGCGGCCCCACCGGCGGTAGGTTCTGACTCTGGGCTCGGCCACTGTGCTCTTAGGCTCGCGCGTTGCTAATTTGATAGGCCCGTGCCCCGGACCTTTCAGCTCGGCGACTGCGAGTCCGCGTCCGCCCGCGACCAAAGAAGTACCCCCACCAGCGATTTCGGCTCAAGCGTTCGCACGGCCGCGTCTCCTTCCTCCCCTTGCGGGACCGCGGGATGGCGCTGCCTAGAGGGGCTCGCGCGGCGCCTGTGGACCTGGCGGCCCTCGTGGCTGCGGCGGTCCGAGGAGCCGTGGACGGCGGCGCGCCGCACCGCACTGTCGCCGCTGTGGCACGTTCCGCCGTGTCGGCCGCCGCCTTCGCGGCGCGGCCGATTCCGCGGGAGCCTGCCGATGCGGGCGACGGGGTGCGCCCTGGGGTGCCTGCCGACGCTGCTCCTCGCGTTTCCTCGGAGGCGCTGCGTAAGCGGCGGCGCAGGCGCCGTCAGAGGCGTGCAGGGCGGCGCGCACTGGAGGGGAAGCTGCGGCGATGGAGGATGCAGCGGTGGCGGGTGTCCTGCCGCCAGCTGCGCCCCCCGCTGCCGCTGGCAGCCTCAACATGGACGTCGACGGCGGCTTCGATGACGACGTCGGGTTCGACGACGCCTGGGCTGCCATGGCCGCGCCGAGGAGGCGCATGCCGTGTCCTGCTGGGGCGCGTGCTGCCGCTGGGGGCCCTGCTGGGGTAGGCGGTGTGCCGCCTGCGAAGGCTGGAGCTGGACGCGGCGACGGTGGCGGTGCAGCGGCGGCAGCGCCTGCGGCGGCTGGTGCCGCGCTGGCGCCGGCGGCGATTGGAGCAGATGGTGCAGGCCTCGCCCCGCCGTCCGCGGAGGTCGCCGTCATGGTGGCTGCGCCGCCCGCGGGACAGCCCCAGGTGAGCGACGAGCTGCGGCGCATGCTGCAGTCCGTCGGCTGGCGCCCCGCCAGTGGTTCCTGAGGGAGTGGTTTCGGCGGCCCGCCCTCTTTAGCGCACCCTGGCAGTACTGTGCCCCAGTTTGCTGTTAATTAGTCTTGGCGCGCCCCGCTTCGACTTGACACGCCGTCGGCGCTTCCGCCCGCGGCCGTTGACTAAAAAGTATCCCCACCAGCCAGCAGTTTGCAGACCCTGGCAATCGGCCCCCCTGGCAGTCGGCCTCTCTGCAGCTCGTTGCATGCGTGCAACCCCTGGCAGTGCAGCTACCCTGGCAGCCGCAGCCAGCACCCCTCCACTCGCCGGCCTGCCCGCCGAGGTGCCGCGTGAGGCTCCGGCCCATCGGTTTTAGGTTAATTCGTCTTTGCGTGGCCCGCTCTGACTCGACTCGCCGCTGGCGCTCTCGCCTGCGGTCGCTGACAAAAAAGTATCCCCGCCAGCGTCTACCGCGTCTTCTCCGACCTTCGCAGGCTCGGGGTTCCATTGTTGAGTGGTACCGCTACCCGCGCACCCTGGCCGCCGAGGGGCCTTTTTCCCGTGCCATGTTGGCTGCATCCCCACTCTTCTACTCGTGCATGGTAAATTTCTACCCGTACGGCAAGAAGTACCACCTCTTCCTCCCCGTTTCGGCTCTGTCGCGCCATCTTGGCTGCGTCCACCACTCGCCTGGTGCTCTCGGGGCGCTTCAAGCTCTTCTCGCTCGGTAAAGGTAGATCCGCCCTTGGTCTTCGTGCTGTTCGTCTTCGGCACGCTCTTCTGGCGGCTGCTCGCGGTCCGGGCGGCACTGCTGTACTTCCCCTCCGCCCGCTGGCGCCTCTCGCCATTGTTTCCCTTAGCTACGAAGCGCGGCCCGCCCTAGCATGCTCGGCGTTCGACTCGTCTTCGCGCGCCTGCGGACCAAAAAGTACCCCCGCCAGCCCATCCAGAAACGATGCCCTTGGGGAGTTGAGGTGGTCAGGGAAGTGGGGGAGCATGCAGAAGAACAAGGGGTGGGGAAAGCCGTCCGATGCCCCAAGAGGGGGAGGATAGCGGAGGAAGAGGAGGAGGAGGAGGAGGAGGAAGAAGAGGAGGAGGAGGAGGAGGTGGAGGAGGAGGAGGAAGGAGGAAGGAGGAAGAAGGAAGAGACAGTGGACAAGGAGGAGGAGGAGGAGGAGGAGGAGCAGGATAAGGAGCAACTTGGCGAACCCAGGGGTTTCGAGATCCTTTCGAGGCCTGTTGGGGGCCTGCTGGAGGCCTCGTGGGCGCCGTCTTGGGGCGCTTTTGGGAGCTTTACGGGCACGTTTAGGGCAATATTGGAGGACATCGATAAAAAAAAGGGTTCCTCAATTCACGGCCCCCCCGACCCCCATGGGAGCCCCAAAAGTCGCCTAGCAAGGCGTTCGTGGGACGCCGTTGGCGCTCTTGGGCCGTTTTGGGGCTGCCTTGGGCCTCTCCTGGGGCCGTCGTGGGTCATTTCGGAACCATCCTGACGCTTCGGACGGCCATCGGGATCGAAAAGGCGAGAAAACGAAAAACATTGATGTTCCTCCGGTTTTGGAAGGATGTTGGCCTCCTCGGGGCCTCTTTGGGGAGTTCTTTGGCCACTTGGAGTCGTATTGGAGCGGTCTTGGGGGCCTCTTTGAGCATCTTGGGAACCATCTCGAGGCATTCTCTTGAGCCATCTTGGAGCTCATCTTGGGCTCTCCGAGGCGCTCTTGGAGGCACATTGGGCCGTCCTGGGCGCTCCAACCCCTCGGGGGGGACCCCTTTTCCAGGTCCAGGGGAGGGAGGAGGGGAAGAGGGGTAGAGGGAAGACAAAACATTTTAGACCACCTACGCCTTAAAGGGCTGGTGGGATTGTCCGCCGTGATTCTTGCAAGGGGCCTGGGCATTACAGCTGGCGTTGCAAAGATAGCGTGCCACATCGGTATCCGAAGATCGCGCTGCCCCTGTGAGGCGATCCCCCCGCGAGGGGCACTGCTGCGCACGCCATCCCCCTGCGAGGGCCTCGTCGGTGAGCGCCATACCCCCGCCAGTGCGTCCTCGGTGCATGCTCCCCCCATGATGGGACATGGCGTGTAATAAGCGGGCCGGCGGCGCCACATCTCACGCCATTTTTGCAACGCCAACCATAAGGAATCGGTGAAACAAACAGTGGCGTAAACATTTAAATTACCCTGGCGACGTACCCTCAAGCTTTCTCTACAGCTTTTCTTCTACACTCACATCCTTTCATCCTTCCTGCACCTGTTACTTTCGTTCCCTGACTCCGAGATAACACAGATGGCTTCTTCCGTTGGTGGCGATAAGCGCGCCAGGAACCCCTGTCAGGCACTTGTTCAAGGCCCCTACGGCGTCTGCTTCACCATCGTCGACGCCGGCGCCAGCTGGGAAAGCAAAGCAACATAGGATCCACAGTCCACTACATGAAATGGACGGGCTCGACGACGAATCCTTTGCCAGCGCACTTCAACTTCAATTCTAAGCACACCTTACTGATGCCGGTGGAGATCAGCAGGAAGATAAAGGCAAGGGGAAAGGTATCGAGGCACCGTTGACTCTATCCAACATCGGCACGCTCATTGCACAACACCTACAACCTATTCAGCAAGATATTGCAGCAATTAAACAACATGGAGTTTCACAGAACGACCTCCAGACGACAGTGCAGCCTATCAAAGCCGATCTAGAGGAACTACGCGCTCGAGGGGAAGCTCTGGAAATGCCGTCGGGGCCGCCTTCCGCGAAATCCACGTCAGTAATGTCGACGAACAAGGCGATGGCCACTAAGCTCGAGGACCTTGAACGCCAAGATCGTGCGCTGGGTCCGGCCGCCGGCTTGCGATCACAATACAAGAACACTGACATTGACTGCAAGAGGGAGATCACAGCAGTCATCGGCAACATGGACGGCATCGACTCGTTCCTGGAAGCCAAAGAATGGGTCGAACAAAAACTTGCGTCTATGACCGGACCAACTCCTTCAGAAGTTTATTGCAAAGGCGAGTACACGAACATCGTGTTCATCGAGTTCTCAGACACCACCGAAAGAGATACCGCAGTAGCATTATTCAGAAGCGCAAATTACACAATCAGTGGAAAGAAAATCTGGGCGACTCAAGACAGACCGCCAGCACTCCGTGCCGCCCGAAACTTCTGCTTCGGGTTGAAATACATATTGCGTGACATGATGAACGTGGAGTACACGATCAAGGTCATCGACAGCTCGCCGCTGCAGGTCTTCGTCGGGGGGGAACTGGCGATCACCGTAAAATTCTCAGAACAGGGCTTGGAGTATTCATGGACAAAGGAATGGGAAGAATGGGAGGATTTACAAAACAACACCCAGCTGAAAGACCTCAAACAAGCATGCGACGATTTAGTGGCCCGTGCAAAGCGTGGTATGAAGGGAAGCGCCAAAGGCAAAGGGAAAACAAAGGCACAATAGGGACTCCGGCCGGTGCCGGAAACGGCCGGCACCGGAGCCGGATGCGAGCCAAATAGTTGTTCGAAGTATGATGCCGATATTGGCGCGAGATTGGGCAAAGCTACCCTCGTCCCAGCATCATCGGCTGATTCACCAACTTCTTCGCCAAGGACTGCGCCACCATCTACCGCACCACCGAAGACATCGACTTCCTGCCGCGCCAGCGGACAAAGAAATGGAGGTGCAGATGCTCTTCTTCATCCTCAAACTTCTGATCGTTTTGTCCCTCCTGTTCTACACCCGCAGGGTTTCGGACATGAAGGCGGCCATTCAGACATCACGGACAAAGTTGCCGACAGTCTGAGTGACGGCGTCAACGCAAGACATTCCCTATCAGGCAGTGGGCGCTGGAAACAAACAGTCCCAGGAAAATGGGGGTGCAAAAAGAGAACATGCAGACCTTTGGAACACCAAGTTGTTGCCACCTGGAACGCGCAAGGGCTTGGAAAAGATTACGGGAAACTGGAGCAGATATTCTACCACATGGTTCAATTCGATATTGCTATCTTGTGTACGCAAGAAACACATTGCAAGGAATCTTGCCATTTTATGCGAAATGGGTATTTGGTAATATTGTCTGGGACCCACGAAGACCACGCAGGATATCTATACTCCGGCGTCGGGTTCGTCATTGCGCAATCCGCCATCGCGTCCGTCATCAACTTTTGTCTGCTGGGCGACAGGCTTGCGTCTTTGAAGCTCAAAATATGCGGCGGCGTAGCAAATATACTGTGCGGCTATGCACCACATGCTGGCAAAGACTACGAGTATCGGAAATCTTTCTTCGACTCTTTCGCAAAGGCTTGGAGGCGTCCCGGGTCGCACACATGCACGTTTGGTCATGGGGATTTCAATGCCAGGCTATATATACGAGAGGCTGGCGAAGAAGAAGTAATTGGAGATTATATGTACAAATCGCCCACACCATCACGATTAGCACAATCCAACAAAGAACTATTATTGGAAACGCGCAGGGCTACGAGCTCCATGATTGGCAACACGTTTTTCGATCATGCCGCCAACAACACGGTCACGTACCTCCAGCCCGCCCGAGGCGTGGACGCCAGCAGCACACCTTCTCCGGAGTATTTTGCACAACTCGATTTTTGTCTGGTGGGAAATACCAACATGGATGTGGTGCGGGATAGATGGAGCGATCGTACAGCATCTCTGCCGACTCGGCATTTCGTGGTACTGACAGAGTTGAACATGCATTTCGAGCAGACGCAAAAGAAAGAACCAAAGACATCCTGTTGTCTCGCCACGCTGAGGGGGCCACCAAAATTGGATGCAAGATTCGGGGAAACGTATCTTGAGGCACGTTCGAAGCTACCCAAAACAGAGCCTTTGGACGACGCAGCGGCGAACGTAGCACGAGCCACGCATGAAGCATCCCAGATTGCAGCCCAGCCCCAAGCACGACGGCACCAACC